ATTTGACTTGATTACAAAAGGGGCTAAAATTCATTCTTTCTCCTTCTCTTTCTTCGGACTTTTCCAAAAAGATAAGGAGAATTAGAAACAAAAAATTCCAACTTCTTTTTTCGCAAACGTAGGTCAACTAAAACTCTGTATTTTGAAATACATGGAAGAGTAGCCAAAACCAAGTAAGATTGAAGATATGCAAAAGGAAGTAGAAATAAGACACCAGGGGAAGAATACTTAGGTGCTGCAGACCTTTGAAAGACCAAGCAAAAATAGTTTTCTAAGATGCTCACATGAGGTACAGACCTTAAATCCTGTGCTTGCAACAGTAGAATGATCTATGGTTCGTGTTAGGAGCTTCCTAGAAGCGGTTTATTTTCAAGGAGACAAAAAGGCAGGGCTTAAGGAGGAATTACACAGACAAGGCAAATCTGTAGGAGGCTTCTTTTTTCATAGCAGTCAAGAAAAGAGAGTCCTTACATTATAAAACAAACCATAACAAAAATGACCTCGCTAATAGAATTTATCAGAAAACAATTAAATTCAGGTGTAAAATTTCATCAGCTTGGAACATAGCACAGACCCTTATGCCACATAACTTTCCTCAAACAGATGATCTAGGAAACACTTTTCTTCTTCAAAACTGAGTCCTGGAAAATGAAGCTACATAGTTTCTATAAAAAGATATTAGAGTATGAATGGAGGAAATAAACAGGAAAAGTGAATGGCAGGAAAAGAAGTTTCACCACTGATAAGGTGCCATAAAGCATATTCATACTTAGTATAAATTACAAATATTAATGAAATAATTTCCTCTTAAAAGTACATGTTGCCCTAACTGGTTTGCCTCAGTGGATAGAGCATCGGCCTGCGGACTGAAGGGTCTCAGATTCAATTCCGGTCAAAGGCATGTACCTTGGTTGCAGGCACATCCCCTGTAGGGGTGTGCAGGAGGCAGCTGATTGATGTTTCTCTCTCAGCGATGTTTCTAACTCTATCCCTTTTCCTTCCTCTCTGTAAAAAATCAATAAAATATATATTTTTTTAAAAGTACATGATTAAGGTGGAAATAAATGCAGAATTTAGGTTAAAGATGGTGAGACATAGGAACAGATGAAAGCAAGTTAGCAGAAAAAGAACTAAGAGAAAATAAAATTATCTCAGAAAAAATATATATTGCTGATTTCATATATCTTCTATATACATAAAAGCATAATATGCAAATTGACCAGATGGCAGAATGACTGGTTGGCTATGATGTGCACTGACCACCACGGAGCAGACACTCAATGCAGGAGCTGCCCCCAGCCTGCAGGCCCCGATCACCCAATGGGGAATGGGGAACCGGGGGTGGGTGGTGGTGGACACAGGCTGCACCAGGGCCCTGATCACCCAGGTGGACAGGCAGCAGCATGGCGGGGGGCCAGGCTGGCTGCTGGCAGCTGGGGAAGATTGGCCCTGATTGCAGGCCAGGCCTAGGGACCCTCCCCATGCATGAATTTCGTGTGCCAGGCCTCTAGTATGTATATAAATATGTTGAAATTATTGTATTTAATTAAAAGAAAAACAAATTACAGATCCACAAAACAATATGAATGAATCTCTAAAACATCAGAAAAAAAGAAGTCAGACATAAAAGAATATGTAGTATATCATTCCATTTATATGTTATCTAGAACAAGCACAATTAATATAAGATGATGTAAATCAGAACAGTTGCTGTCTGTGTGGGGGGAGGAATTGCCTGGGAAAGGGTACCAGGGAAATTTCTGGAGTGTGAAGATGTTCTGTATCTTGCCTAGGGTGGTGTCTACATAGATGCAGACAATTGTCAAAGCTTGTAAAACTAAATACTTAAATGTGCGATAGATACTGAGCCAAATTCAGATAATTGCACCCCATCAATAAAGAGCAGATAAATTTAGTCTCATGAAAACTACTACAGAGGATGGAAAGAGAAAGATCCTTCCAAATTTTTTGAAGATTACACAAAATTAAAACCAATAAATCTCATGTTAGTGTAGAAATACTGGATAAAATATTAGCAAATAGAATTCAGCAGCACAATAAAAGATAACATATTACAGCAAGTGGAGTTTATTCCAGAAATGCAAGGATAATTCAGTACTAAGATAATTATTAATATTCATGTTAATAGATTTATGATGAAAAACGCATGTTTTTATGGATCCTAAATGGATTTAAGACAATTTGATATTCATTTTTTATAAGAAATAAAAGTAAAATGAGTAGGTAACTACATTAAGCTATATAGTATATATTAATATATTAAAATACATTTCTTCATATATTAAAATAAGGCTCTCATCTTAAAAGCATTTCCTAGAAAGTAGACAGACTCAATTAAAATCAGGAACAAGTCAAGTATGGCCAATAATATTACTATATAATATTATTCAGGAAGAACTTAATAAGTGATACAATAAGAAAAGTAAGGAATACAAGGTATAAACTTTGGAAAGAGATAATATTATCAATGTTTGCTGATATTACTCAGCTTCTAGAAATTTCAATTCAGTAAGCTAAATATATATTAACAGTCTTTATATGTACAACAATAATCATGATTAGAAGCACCTCCCCAAAAAGTAAAACGCCTAGAAATAAATTAGAACTAGAAAGAAAAAAACTAAAAATGATCCTCAGAAACAAAAACAAACAACTGGAAGAGAATACCATGGTCTTTCATTAGGAAGAATGAACATCCTAAAATGTTAACATGATCCAAATAAAATTTAACATGATTCAAATAAAATTACCAATAATAATTTTTAGGAGGATATAATTTAGACAAGCTGAACCAAATTTTATGTGGAAAACCAAACATGCAAAATTACCAAGAAAATAATCTTTAAAAGGAGGGTAATATGAGGGTGACAGCCCCACCAGATGTTAACATTTATTATAAAGCCTCACTAGTTGAAATATATTATAAAGCTTCACTAATAAAAAGAGAGATGGAATGGAATAGAAAGTCCAGAAACTGGCCTAGACATACATGAGATCAGTTAGGGAAGGATGGACCTTTTACTAGCTGATGGTGGGACTACTGAGTTTGAGTTTATGTAATAATTTCCTAAATGATTATTAACACATAAAAGTATTAAAACTGAAAAATAAAATCTTAAAAGGTAGCAGAAAAAAGCATGGCTAGAAAATGTGTTTATATCTCATTATGGATGATGCTTTTTAAAGTATCACACTAATTTCAAAGATAAGAAAGGGATAAGGTTCATTGAGTCCATAAAAAATTAAAAATATTTTTTATTTGCCTGGCCGGAGTGTCTCAGTGGTTGAGCTTCGATCTATGAACCAGAAGGTCATGGTTGGATTCCCAGTCAGGGCACATGCCCAGGTTGCAAGCTCAATCCCCAATGTGGGGAGTGCAGGAGACAGCCTATCAATGATTCTCTCTCATCATTGATGTTTTTATCTCTCCCTCTCCCTTCCTTTCTGAAATCAATAAAATAAAAATATTTCCTTTGGCACAAAACATTATAATTACTGTCAAAAGAAAAATACAAAATATAAAAATGTAGATATATACAACAGATATATGTATAATATGTATAATTTTAATATATAAAGAATTCTTATAAATCACTAAAAATAGAAAAAGTGATGAAGAAAGATAATTATCTCTTAAGGCTGATGCTCAACTTTGTTTTTAATAAGAGAAATGAAACAAAAATACAGTGAAAAAAACAAACTACACTGAAATACCAGATTGGTGTTTTGCTAACGGTATAGAGAAAGAAATACTTTCATATAGTCTTTTTGGAGGTATTAACATAGCGAATTAAATAATGGCTTTCAAAATTACAGTTATACACACCCACTGATCGAGTAATTTCATTTCTAGGGAAATATTCTAGGATTGCAAAATGTATATATGAGCACCATTATTTATTGCAATATTGCTTGAACTTGCAAAAAAATTGAAAACATCCCAAACTTCTAGCTAGTCTGCTCTCAACTCACAAACCTAGGTGGGTCTCTGTTCACTCAGGTTAAGGGCTTTCTTTTTCTTATGTACACATCATGGCATGAGCTAGCATTTATTTCTCAAAGGGGGAACTTAAAGACTCTTGTGAAGTAATCCCACAATTTTTATGATTTTTTAAATCCTGTATTGTTTTGCCCATACGTAACTTAATTGCACTTTTACCCAACTTGTCTTTATCAAGTTCTTCCAAAGCATTTTTAATCCAGTTTTAATAAAATAGAAACAACTCTTTCTGCAGGCATAATTCATCAGTTTGTATAATAATTAAATGAATTATGTAACTAAACTGTTACAACTAATATACCCACGTTCAGAAATAAATAGAACTGACTCTTGGCATCGGCTCATTTGGGAGCAGTGGTGCTCTGGCATCACGGAGAGTAGCCTGTCTGCTGCGAGTGCTCACCAGCCGGGAGAGCAGTTGGTGAATCTGAAAGAGGGGTTGGGGAGCTTGGGTTAACCCAGCAAGTTGGTTATATGGCCATTTAAGAGAGCTTTTACTGCATACTGACAATAAATAAAGAACAATCCATTATGTTCCAAAATAAATAAAATCGGAGTGATCCTAATAAAAAAAAGATTTGCTAGTATCTTCACATTTTTATGTTATGAGAGCTCTATCTTCATTTATTACTTCCATATGAGCCTGCATTCTTTCCAATATGTTACAGGCTTTGGTCAAAGAGTTACAAGTTGATGTCCATACAATAAGGCGACAAATCAGAGAGCTTAAAAGAATGCAGAGAAAGAAGGATGCTCATAAAACCTCAACTCATAAAGCCCAGACCTTGGCAGCTTCTATCCTCAACATTTCACGATCAGATCTAGAGGAAATATTGGACACAGAAGATGAAGTGGTAAGATCACTTAAACATTTATTAATAAAGGGCCTTTGCACATTGAATTTAAGTACATATCTTTATTTTCAAATTCTTAGAATTTATCTTTAAGATAATATTTATGAAGGTAAGATTATTAATGCATCAATGAAAGATACATCAAGAGTATTAACCAACTTAAAAACCTTTAAAGAAATTTAACTGTAATATGGGAAAAAGCAAGTACATATAATCTCTAGAACTGCTTGTTCGTTATTCAGTCAGTTATCCTTTCCTATCTGTTTTCTTTAACGTAATTAATCATATATCCTGTAAGCTAGTATTTTTAGTTAAGCCAATTTGAATGGATTTAGTGTAGCAGGGTCACCATAGATTTGGGGATTCCTTCCTCCTGTGTGAGATTGGAAAAAGTAATAAATCTAGTGGCTTTCTTAGCTAAATTTAATTTTTGTTGACAAAGTTAAAAATATATTTATTCCTTTAAATCAGGTAAAATATTCCTGTCCAAGTGAATTTATGTGCATGTAAGTATAGGTCTTCAGTGGCATCTCTGTACCTCCTGGGAAAGGCACTGCACTTTTGACATAGTTGTTATCTCATAAACAGCAGAATCCCATCCTGTACACCAAGGGTGGGGAGCGTCCAGCCCTGTGGGCCCTGTAAGGCCTGAGAAATCCTTTGGCCTGGTGCTGCCAAAGCATTAGGGGTCAGTTCATTAAATGTTTGACCAAATGGAGCAGGCTAATTTTTAAGTTGATAATTTTGTATGGCCCACGAGTGATGCTATAAATACCCACATGGCCCTTGCAGGAAAAAGGTTCCCACCCCTGCTGTATAAGATCTGTGAAACCTGTGGAGGATACTCAACTCCATTCCACTGTTAAGTCTCTGAAATTTAATACCTTAATATTCAGTTTTTCATTGTTTGGAAAGATTAAAGAGATGACAGCACCAGCAGCTTCCCAATAAATATTTGCTCAGTGAATAAAGAAAATGTTAGATTGACATGTTTGTGTAAGAACGTCCTCCAGTCCTCCATCAGCTTCTCAAAGGGCTTCTAGAGTAGAGAAGAGCTACAACTTGCAAAGGATATTTTGTTTGTTTGGTGTTTTGTTTTTTTGCTTACTAAATATTCAAAAATGTTTATTTTAAATTTTGAGATAATTTAAATAAAACATGAACACATTTCTGTGGCATTCCACCCATTATAATAGAGGGAATGGCTCCTCATTTTAGTTCAGCTAATATTTAGTGAATAGCCATCTGTGCCAAGTATTCTGCTAATTTTTTTTTTTTTTGCTGGCCAGTTATTTATTTATTTGCTTTACATATTATCTTTTTAAAGTTTTATTTTTATTGTTATAGGTAATAGAGATGTCTTCCTTTTTTCCCCATTGATCCCCTCCACCCAGCTCCCGCCCCCTCCTGAATCATTATCTTTCCATAGTTATGCATATATGCATATAAGTTCTTTGGTTACTCTCCTCCTGCCCCTGCCCCCTTCCCTCTGAAATTCGTCTGCCAAGAATTCTTAGAAAAGTAGTCAGAGGAATCCTGCAGAGATTATTTTCATCCTGTGGGTGAGTAGGAAAGTGAATTATCAGTTTTCTCTTTTCATCACTTATCCATACTGTCCATAGCTTTCTACTGAATATTGAACTTTGAAGTATAGAGCATTATAAGAGACTGGTAGCCCTGCGCACAAATCCGTGCGCCAGTAGCTTGCCAGTAGCTCGCTGCCACCCTCTAGTAGCTCTCCGCCTGCTACCCCGCCCTCCTGTAGCTCCCCCCCCCCCCCCCCCCACTCAAGCTCTAATAGGCTGTTGGCCCGTCCTCCCCTGGAACGCGGGCCGGTTGGTAAAATTCCCAGTGGAATGCCCATTTGGCGTATTTACATCTTTATTATATTATTTGATATCCGACATGGGGAAGAACCGTTGCCTGTTGCAAGTGTTTTAATATATCTGAATTTAATTTATCTTTATTTTAGTAATTAAAATTTGTTGATTCATAATGGGAAAGCTTACCAAAATTAAGTTTAAGGCCTCCACTCTTGCCTAAGGGTTTTAAAACAAGCAGATTTAGCAAAATCCCTAGTGTGTGTGTGTGTGTTTGTGTGTGCATGTGTGAACACAGATACATATTTTTGAAGACGGGACCCCTCTGCCCCTGCCTTTGTGTGGTCTCAAAAGATGCCCTCTCTAGGCTTACAAGTTAGAAAAAAACATCCCTTCTGATTGGACAAATAAAAAAGGATCACTTTATGGTCCCAAAGAATAAATGACACCCTCCTGTGAAGAGGTGGCTCCCCTGCCTCTGGGCAGATGCAGTCTGGAGCCAGAGGACACAGCACTGCAGTGTGCATCTCACCCAAGCTTGGGTGGAAGTCCTGCAGAAAGCAAAAGGACTAGTGAAAACTCACTGTTCTGAGAAGGATCGGTACATCTCAATGTATTTACTAGACATAACTATAGATCAGAGCCTGTTTAGACTGATCCCTGAATCTTTCAGAGGTCTGAAGGGTTGACTGACTTACCCAACCAAGCAGAGTTCAAACCACCTAACATATTCCTTAAGCTATACATCAAACCCTAGTAAATTCATGTAAAAAATTGAGATAACCTATGTGAAGTGTCTAGCCTGATACCTGGCATACAGTAAATTTTAACAAATGCTAGCTTCCAAATCCCTTCCCTTTTTGAAAAGTCCATTTTTTAAAAAAAAATGAATTATGAGTTTAGTAAATAATCAACTGCACATGTGAATATATTATACTTTTAGGAATATTTAACTTGATAATTGATGGATTAAAAATACTTAGTGACTTGCAGTACAAAGTTGGAGTGTCTGTTCCTGGCCTATCAGTGAGTTATTGGATATTTTAAATAAACAAGCCTACACCAGAGCCATGCCATATTATATTTTGATTGTAATTGTAACAATTACTCTTTAGTTATCTATTGAAAAGTCATATTTTTTAATGTTATCTTATGAGGGTCACTTGTAAATAAATGATTCTTTTATACAGCTGCATCTTATTTTTCATTTTATTTTAATTGCTTTCACCTCCACCTCTGTTCCTACCTTGAGCTCCACTGTGAAAACAGCAAAAAAAATTCCTGACTTATATTGTCAATATAGAATTACAGCTTTATCTTCCATATGTATGTAAATATTTAGAAATTAAATATTAAAGAGCATGGATTTGAATATTCTCTACTTTTGAAAGACCAGGCTACTCTTTGTTGAATCCAGTTTTACTGATATCTCTCTAGATTTATTCAATATTTAATAGTATGAGCAACTTCATTTATATACAGTTAACACCAGTGTTTTTACTTTTCTCCTTTAGGAACTCAAAAGGACAAAGATAGATGCTGAAAATGACAGGGAGTGGATGTTGTATATTCAGAAACTTCTTAAAGGACAGGTATTTCATTTTCTACTTCATAGATGAAAACTAGATAAGAATTCCAAACCTTATATTTTTACTAGGTGCCTAACTTTTTGCTTATGCATTATTTGCTTCTGTTAGGTATAGAAGTATTCCAATAGGTAGAACAGAAGTTAACTCTCTATTTGTACTCCTGGACTTAACAAATGAAGTAGATGCCTTGGGAAACAGCCAACATGGATCTTAGCAAATGCATTAATTAAATTATTGAGTCAACCTCTATGCTTCTTAGACTGAAAAGGATCCATTCTCTCAGCCCTCTTAGGAAAAGAGATTTTTTATTATGTGTCTTTAAAGTTAGTGGTTATATGGACACCTGAGGAGTTCATGGGTTTCAGTGACCTTTTACTATGGACCTGTTTCCAGTCAATTCATGTTTTCCTCACAGCCAGACAGCTGTTTATTACTGTGTCTTCCTGCATTCCCTACAATATTTTCTACTGAGACCTCGAGCAGCTTGTTAGTGGGAAGTAAATATTGATTTGGCATCCTGTCAATGCAGAAAGAATGAAAAAATTTCCACCAGAGGCCCCTCAAACATTTTCCTATCGACATTTTCTGGGCCGCGTGGAAAGCTGCATAGAGGATGACAAGGCCAAGGCGAGTGGAAGTCCCGGAGGGGTCTATTGAGACTGCTGCTGTGACCTGTGTGATACTTTTTCCTCCCTTTCAAGTATTTTTTAATACACATATAGTCTGCTGGGAGGCGCCCCTCTTGTAAGTGATCAAGGGCAGTTTATTGGCAGGTGAGAGCCTTGCTTTTCTAGTCAGAGCCAGCTTTTGTTTCCACATCACTGACAGCATGTAATGTATTCTAAAACTTTTTCATTATAGTTTTTTTGTTGTTGCTCAACCTGATTGTTTATTTTAAAAATGAACTGGAATAAAAAGCAGCTAAAACGTATTTCTCAAAATAGAAAAAAAAAGTATTGTCCCGTGAGTTTGGGAAAGTCATAAATGTTTCTGTATGAAAATTAAAAATAAAGGCTGATATTAAATGAAACTTATTTTACATTTATATTAACAAATGGAGTTGTCTATGCTTTAGAAAAAGCCAAGAGTAAGTAAAGAATATCTGAACTATTCATATTTTTAGTATCAGTTTTATATATTTTGAAACTGTATTCAATAGTAAAAGAAGGTGATTGGCAATCTTTTTCTTAAAGTTATTTAAGTGCAGGCGTGCAAGTTCTAAACATAGCTTTCTACTGTGACACTTGCTTTTGAGAAGAAATACCATTTGTTAATCATATCACATGCCCAGCACCAGCACCCAGCCCAGTGCCTGGCAGATCAAAGGAGTTCAGTAATGATTCTTATGGTCTGGTGTGGGGTTTTTTTCAGCTGAAAATAATAAAAATAAACTTTTTAATGATTTTTAATGCTCAACTTGTAAAAATGACCCTTCAGTATGGAAATTTTTATCATCATTTTTTAACATAAAAATAAAAAATCCATATGTATAAATCTTTATTACATTTTACAAAGGCTATATTGACACCAGGCCTGGGGTTTTTTGACTCACACATGGAGATGTACACACACACACATTCTATGTATCTGGATGTATGCTTATTCTGGCCAGTTAGTGTAAAAAATCCCTTTAAAAATGGCATTGGACTGCTTAATACTGTAGTTTGATATAGTGCCTTTTTGTGCCACTGAGCCTGGACTCTGGAATGTAATTGCCTGGCAGTATTGATTTAATTGCCCAGGTTTATTTGTGGACTCCTAATTATTGACTGAGGTAAATTTAATTGAGCAGCCTTTATGAACACTGGGAAACCGCTGCTGTTGCTGCTACACGTAATGAACTGCAGCGTGTGCCTTTAGATCATTTTTCAAGCTAATTTTATTCCACTGTGACAGCATGATAACATTTAAAAAGTCAAAGACTTTTTATTTTTATTACTGACATAGGTGGTTTTGCTGATGTCTTTGAATTTTGTGAGAAAAAAATAGAAACTTCATTGGTTGCACTTGAATGTCACTTTATTCTAATTATGCCCAAGAGAAAAATCTATAAAATGGAAAACATCTCTTTTTTTTCTAGCCTACTTTTCTTCTCTCTCAATTCCAGCAATTACATTTGTCCTGAATTTTAGAAAAGGTTTTCTTTATTCACCAGTTTTTTAGAGTCTCAGTGATACTCATGGGATTGTGTGGGCAAAACGTAGATATGTTCATTCATACAGTTTATTTTATGATATACAGCTTCGTGTATCTGAGGTTACATGATCTTTAAGCTGTAGGACAATTGTGTACATTCCCTAAAATAAATACTAAATAATTCAGTGTTGGTATTTGATTATTAAAATATTTGGAAAATAAAATTATAGAAAAACTTTTTCTTTATGACCTTCCTCTGGGTTGGCCGCTTTATGTCAGCGATTTTCAACTGGTTTGCCGCAAGATTTTATAAAACATGCAATACTTGACTATTTATTGAGGGGCACTGAGCTCTTTTCCCTTAGATTATCAAATGGAAAAATGACCACAGCCAACACAATAGCCCTTCGGTGTGAATGCCCTGTTTTGAACCATAAATATATAGGTCATATAATAGAGTTGCATCTTATTGGTCATGTTGCATAATAAGGTTTCATCTGATTGGTTAATTTTTGGTACCAGAAATCCTTATATAAAAGTATAGGCACATGATTTTTTTTTAAAGTCACTTTGGAGCAAAAAAGATAATTACTCTTTTTTTTTTTTGGTAAATCAATGAAAATTATACCTATTTTTGGTGCGATTGGCAAAAATATATTTTTTGGTGTGCCCCAGAATTTTAGTAATTAGTTCATGTGTCCCATGAGATGAAAAAGGTTGAAAATTGCTGGATTATGTAATAGAATTCTGAGATCATAGGAGCTGATCTGGTCTGTGGTTTTCTCTTTTGTGTAAGGGTTAAGCCACAGAATTGTTTCCTGTTAAATAAACTTCTCTGCATTCATTTGTTGAAAATTTATATTGATAAAATATTAACCACAAAATAAAAAGCTGTTCTGCCATGTGGCAATATGGGACTACACAATAATAATACCTACTGCTACTGTTAGCCAAAAGTACATGAGAACTAAAAGGTCTAAAACCTTAACATGCCTATATTTAATACAGAATGCAAATATATGTCTTCATTACTTCAAGTGCTTCTGATGCAGTTGATACTTTTAGATATTTGATCTTTATCAGCACCTACCCTTTATTCCCACAGATTTCTAATAAGAATCACACTGAAAAAATATTTCTAATACCTACTTGTACTTTTTTATGGTATAACTGCCTTATAATTTCTTTTTTTTTCTTTGTAACTCTTTTGGGTTCTTTTTTTTAAAATAAATCTTTATTGTTCAGATTATTACAGATGTTCCTCTTTTTTCCCCCCATTGCTCCCCTCCACCCGGTTCCCACCCTACCCCATGCCCGTACTCCCCACCCCCCCACTGTCTTCGTCCATAGGTGTAAGATTTTTGTCCAGTCTCTTCCTACACTCCTCATACCCTTCCCCCTGAGAATTGTCAGTCCACTCCCTTCCTATGCCCCTGATTCTATTATATTCACGAGTTTATTCTGTTCATCAGATTTTTTATTCACTTGATTTTTAGATTCACTTGTTGATAGATACGTATTTGTTGTAACTTTGTTGTTCATAATTTGTATCTTTACCTTTTTCTTCTTCCTCCTCTTCTTAAAGAACACCTTTTAGCATTTCATATAATACTGGTTTGGTGGTGATGAACTCCTTTAGCTTTTTCTTGTCTGTGAAGCTCTTTATCTGATCTTCAATTCTAAATGATAGCTTTGCTGGGTAGAGTAATCTTGATTGTAGGTTCTTGCTATTCATCACTTTGAATATTTCTTGCCACTCCCTTCTGGCCTGCATAGTTTTTGTTGAGAAATCAGCTGACAGTCACATGGGTACTCCCTTGTAGGTAACTAACTATTTTTCTCTTCCTGCTTTTAAGATTCTCTCTTTGTCTTTTGCCCTTGGCATTTTAATTGTGATGTGTCTTGGTGTGGTCCCCTTTGGATTCCTCTTGTTTGGGGTTCTCTGTGCTTCCTGGACTTGTAAGTCTATTTCTTTCACCAGGTAGGGAAGGTTTCTGTCATTATTTCTTCAAATAGGTTTTCAATATCTTGCTCTCTCTCTTCTTCTGGCACCCCCATAATTCAGATGTTGGTCCGCTTGAAGTTGTCTCAGAGGCTCCTTACACTATCTTCATATTTTTGGATTCTTTTTTCTTTTCCGGTTGGCTGTTTTTTCTTCTTTGTATTTCAAATCTTTGTCTTGATTCTTGGGATCCTCTAGCCTGCTGTTGGATCTCTGTATATTATTCTTTATTTCAGTCAGTGTATGCTTAATTTCTGATTGGTCCTTTTTCATATCCTTGAGGTTCTCACTAAATTTCTCGGAGGTTTCTAAAAGATTCTTGAGTAACCTTATAACCGTGGTTTTGAACTCTATATCCAATATTTTGCTCTCATCCATTTTTTTCATTTGTGACTTGTTTCTTTGTCTCCGAATTTTGGCTGCTTCCCTGTGTTGATAGAGTGGCCTTGTGTGGTAGGTGTCCTATAGGGCCCAGTGGCTCAGCCTTCCCAGTCACCTGAGGTGGACACTCTTGGTGCACCCCTTTGTGGGCTGGGTACACAGTCCTATTGTAGTTAAGCCTTGATTGCTGTTGGTATCACTGGAAGGAATTGACCTCCAGGCCAGTTGGCTGTGAGGACCAGCTGTGTCTACAATGGGAGAACTTCTGTTCTGGAGTCACCCTTATGGGGCAAGACTTGCTTCAGTGGGGCTTTGGTGCTCACTGAGTCTGCCCCTTGAGTGTGTCACTTATGGATGTGAAAAGTTGTTATCTGGTATGGTCTCACATTGACCACTGGGTACACTGGCTCTTGGATCTCCAAGGAGGTGCTAAATTAGCCACTGCCTGAGGTCACCCAGCAGGAGCTACAGAGAGATCTGCAGA